ATTTTATTATAATTATAATTATAACAAGATTTGGGGAAAAGGAACAGGAATGAATAGTTGGTCTTTTTTGTTAAATTTTTTTTTTCTGAATAGCATCCTTGTTAAATTAACGATTGATTTCTTATGATTTGTTATAGGAAAACACAATTAAAAGGTATAGAATTAAAGTGTAAAACACCGAAAACTGACATGGCCAACCTAAAATTAGCACAGCAAAATTCTTTTTCATTCCCTTATTTTCACTTTCCTTCTATGGTCCTCGTAGTTTTTGGAAGTTGCATTTTGGTCCAAAAGAACGAACACGTACTTTTCGGGTATGAAAGAGAAAAATAAAGGATAAAAAAGAAAAATTAATTGGCAACAAACTGATCTATCAACATTGACACATGCTATGACAAAAAAGAGAGGATACGATGATATATCTATATGATAAAAAAGAGAGGATACGATGATATATCTAGCAACATGATAAAAGAATATTTTATGCTACGGAGAGGTATTGCATAAGTTGTCTAAAAAGTGTGGGCATCTTTTATATGCTAACGATTTTATATAATTAAATAATATTTAATTGATATTAAAAGATAAAAATGACCTTGGTTACTTAGGTAATTAAGAAAAACTAAAGAAAAATATCAAAAAGTCCTTGAACTTATGATTTAAACTGTTTGAAGCCTCTATTTGTCAATTTATAGTAAACGAATAAATGAAAAAACAGTTATGCCTCTTTGTATTAATTTTGTATTTTTATTTTTTAATTTTGAGATGATTAGATCATTTTAATGTGTTTTGAAAATAAAAATACAATTATAATTATATTCCTGGGTAAGCTCTCACGACTAATGTAACATATGAATAGATAAAAATAGTTTTTTAAAAAATAATTTTTTTTTAAAAAAAGTAAAACTGTCATTTTTCTATTATAGTGAAAAGCTAACGGAGCCTTAGTGCACAGTCTTCAGCTTTAGTTTAGTGGGGGTTTATTTATTTATTTATTTATGGTTAAATAAAACTACTGAGCTTGAGCCACTTATTAATTGATCACTTGATGCCAGTACAAAGAGAAGTGTGTCAAATTAAAGGGGTATGGCTTGCCATCCTCAAACACGAACTCGTCGTCTCTTATGCTTTCTAGTGCGAGCAAGATCTAGGCACACAAAAAACCAAACTTACTAACTTAAACATCATGATCACAGCCGAATGGAACTTGAGAAAACCCAGATCACTTTCTACTTTCTTGGAATGATGGGCGTCGTCCGTGAACCTGCAATGTCCAACCCACTTGCTATGTAGCTTCCCGTGATTCTTCTTCATCACGTGATATATATATATATATATATAACGTAATAACCACCTCCGCTGTCAATATTTGAAACAGGACTCGTAGGCGTAGTTAATGGCCCGCAAGAATGGAGGTAGAAGATCCTAGCGGGAGGTGAGACGTGAGCCATGATCTCCCTGGTTTTTATCTTACCCCTTGATCAAGTAACCATTAAATCACAACACATCTTAGACAGTATTTTTATGACGCCTACTCGCCTAGGCTCCCCCGGAACCAGGGGTGTAAGAAAAAGATAGAATTTTATTTCTTGTCGCCAAATGAAAGGGTGCACGGTCCGTGGTCCAGTCCCATCAGACGCCGTAGCTTAAAAAGGTGTTGATCCAAATTATAACCAGTCTGAAATTACCGAGTGTTTAGGAAGTTGGAAGATTGCTGCAAATTGAGAGTATAAACTTTCAAATAGTCCAAAAATCATTATGGTGTGGTGATCTGTCAATTTTAATATTGGCCTGTGGCATCATTTGCCACTTTCCTTGGCCTGGCCACCGCCTTATCATTTTTTTTTTGATTTACTTGAGGTGTCCGGACCAGCTTGCGCGCACCATAACTAATCTTCACGGCCCACTAAACACTCTACAAACTCAGTAGGCATATAAGGCATCGCGAAGGTGACAGACTTGCACGCCAGGCTCGAATCCAAGTGCAGTGGAAGGAGATAAGCCCCTTTCACCGCTAGGCCAAGCACTGGTTTGCCTTACCATATTTTGATATGCTATGTTGCTGGCCTTTAAACGCTCATAAAATAAAGCACAACTATTTTTTATTTCAAATTTACCATGTTAGTAGTCTTTAATTAACAAGCTAGCTTTAATTTCCGTGATTCAATGCAGTTCAGATTATTTTATTTTATTTTATAAAAATTAATATTTAGATGTCAAAATGAGATAGAAAAGATATAAAAAATTTATCATGATAAATCTATGACTATACTAATTACAACTAAGTTAATTTGGGATATCTCACCGAATTTATAGCACAAATTATGTGATAAGAATAATTTCATAAAAAATAAGAGAATTATAATTTTTTTTTAAATTCATATTAATTTTTCAAACATGTGACTCAAGTTATTAAACTTGAAATATTCAATTTGAAAAAACCATTCTCAATTAATCATATATTAAAGGAAAAAATAAAAAAATTCAATGATACAAAAGAATTTTAAAAAACAACAATTAAAGGAATGAAAATTTATAAATATTTTATTTAATTGAAGGGTGATACTGAAAAAAATCTATTTGGTAAAAGGACAAAAAACACTTAAAAAGAATAAGAATCAAATTGACATAAAAAATAAAAACAATGTTGTAATTAAAAGGTGAAATTAAAAGAATAGTAATTTTTACAAAAGGACTGAGAAAAAAAATAGAAACAAAAAAAATAAGGATCAAATTGAAAAAAATAATTACTTTAATTTGAGTTGAAAGAGAAAATAAAAAACCACAAAAAATTTTACAAAAAAAAATTAGAAATCCAAAGAACAAGATCCATATTAAAGAATATAATATTTGGTAAAAAAATAGAAATCCAAAGAACAAGATCCACATTAAAGAATATAATATTTAGATTAAAAAATAAAGTTGAAAACAAAAAAAAACTTCTACAAAAAAACCAAAATAAAAAAAATAAAAATAAAGATTGAAGTTGAAATATCAACAACCAAGAGGCTAAGCTATAATTTTCAGGGGATAAGAGAAAGAAAAAAAAATTCATCAACACCAAACTAGATTACCACTAACAACATATGCTATATAGACAGAAAGAGGGCACAGTGACGCTTCCAACAATGAGGCAGAGGAGTGTTTTTTTGATGTTAGGAGGTGTCGTACATGTTACTCAAAGGATACAACGCCTCCCATGCATGCATATATATATATATATATATATATTTTATCAAGCTAAATATAAAATTGCTTCTAAATTGGCTTTGTAATTACAAAAAAAAAACTATTGTGAAAAGTTAAAAAATTCCTTTATCTCAAGGTTTAAAATCTTTAATTTTAAGAGTATTTTCATTGTTTCACGTGTATTTTAATTGTTTATTATTTTTATATTTCTATAAATATTCCCTCAACTTAAAATATAATAACAAAAAATTAAATTGTCCCTCAACTTAAAATATAATAACAAAAAAACACTTACAAAAATACTTAATGACAAGTTTAATTTTTTTACTTCCAATAATACTTTGTTGTTTACTATACAATTAAAATTAAAAAAAAAATCATATTTATCCATGATTAATTTTAAAATTATAAATAAATAATATAAAAAGACTTTAATACCCTTGCAATCTAGGTTTTAAGTTTTTAGGTTCTGCTATTTTACAATGAATTATTTTACGTGTAATATATTTCTCCATTTTCATTGAAGTTAATGGTGTGGGAAATGGATGTTAAAGGAAAGTACTTAATTTTGGGCGTGGGATTAGAAAGACAACACAAGTAAATAATCTAAGAGGGCTCTTCAATAAAATAATAATCTGGGTGGTATGTGGTCCATCTCATCTTCTACTCCAGTCGAATATTCCTCATAATTAAAACAAAAGACAAATTAAGACCAAGGTCAAATCATTAATCTTGTAATGAAACCAGGAGGCTTCCATCTGTCTAATCATTTGACAATATACTCCCGTGATGATTCCCTAATTACCACTGGATACGAATCTTTTACGCCAGTGAGCAGACTACTTGCCTTCTTCCTCTTCCTTTTTCCTGCTGAAAATGCCTGTCTGTAAACGATTTGCATCTAGTTCCTTTTTGTGGAAGGCCGTTCTAGTCACTGGATATGGACATACAGTGTTGATTGTGGCAAACCCAGTTATAATTTTCAGGAATTTCTTACGAGTTAACTCTACAAATCTCTTGTGAGTTAAACAGAATTTCTCAGGCCAGAAAGGGATAAAAGACACCCACCTTTCATGTGATCCAGTTAATCCTTGCACATCAACCTTTGTCCCCTAGCAAAAATGCAAAGCTGTAATATCAAATGGGGCCCCAATAGCCTTTTGACATCTAGCACACAGTCCCCACCTCACCGGATAGCTTTTGAGCCTTAACCATGGGTAACCCTCCTCACATTCTCCTATAACAACACCTTTTCTCCCTTCGCCCTCCATTCTCTTCTTTAGACACATTTATTGAAGTTAATAATAGGTGTATTGATTTCATAATCATTCAATGGCTTCCTTTCGCTCAACATTCTTGGCAATGTCCACGGTCTTTATGGCCTATTTTTCATCACCAGCTTTGGCATCCCAAGTACACGCTCGAATCTCTACTATATCAGCAGCTCCTGCGTTTTTGCCTGCTGCTCCCTTATCCTCTCCCCCAACCTTATCGCCAGATATCGAACCTTTGCTCCCAACTCCTGGAGCTGGAGCACCTTCTCCAACTGAGTCATCCCTACCTACCATTCCTTCGAGCCCAAGCCCTCCAAATCCAGGTGACATACTAGCTCCTGGCCCTGCAAGATTTTCAATTTCACCATCCGGGTCTTTGCCAGCCTCTTCTTCAGTCTCTATAACTTCATCAGGACCTTTAAATTTAGCTTTTTTTCTTGGTTTGCTGGTGTTATGCTCAATGCAGCTTTCTGGTGTGTGAGGTTCTCTTGGTGGCAGCTCAATTATTGTTGCTAGTGGTTCCACTTTCTCCTTTTATGTTTGGACATTTCTTCTTTTTTATATGCTAGTGTGTATATTATATGCTTTGTTGAGGTGAATGAAAGTGTATGGCAATTGCATTAATGTTGTTAGGCTGCATATTCTATTTTTCCATTTTACTTAATATCCTTTTCACCTTATAAAACTAAAGATTAAGGATGATTTGATTGAATAACATTACGATGACTTTCCTAAAAATTGTAAAATAGTATACGCTAAAATAAGATTAGAGCAATGCCATAATGAACATAAACACTATAGTAATTTTCCTAGGTTGACTTCGAGGGTAATTATGCACCTGATATTACAACCTATTCTCGATAGATATAAACTGTGTTTACAAACTACGCTACTTACCGTCGAAAATCCACATCTAGAGAGCTAGGACACTACTCTGAGACTTTGAAGATCCATTAAAAAGCTTCCCGCGAAATACATCCTTCAGCTTCTCGACGGAGAAATGGCTTCTGTTTTGGTTAGCTACGCACCTCCTCAGCTTCACATTCTCTAGCTTCAACACTTCAACTGCTAAACTGAGCTGTCTTATTACTTCCCTCTTCTCTTCATCTTTCTGCAAAAGATGCTCCTTGTAAATCCTGTTCTCTTCTCCGAGAACTTCGATTTCTTCCCTCATCCTCACCACTTCAACATTGTAGAAAACACTAGAAAATTCAACTTCTTTGATTCCTTCATTGACTTGAGTTTCTCTCTTTTCTTTCCTCTTCTCTTCAAGTTTCTGCAAAGGATGATCCTTACTAATTGTCTTCTCTCGCCTAAGCCTTTCTATTTCTTCCCTCAACTTCATCATTTCAGCATTGTACACAACCCTTGAAATTTCAGCTTCTCTTATTCCTTCATGGACTTGAATTTCTTTCTTTTGTTCTCTCCCCTCTGCGTCTTTCTGCAAAAGATAGTCCCTGTAAATCCTCTTCTCTTCCTCGAGCCTTTCTATTTCTTCCTTCAACTTCGTCACTTCAGCATTGTACCTGATGCAAACTTCAACATGTTTCATTCCATCAACAACAAGGGTTTCTTTCTTTTCTTCAGGTGTCTCAATTTCTTCCAATTCTTTACCAACTTGAATTTGATCTTGTTCAAGGTCATCCACTTCAGATTCAGCAGAGTCCTCAACGTGGGTTTCTTCCTTTCCTTCAGGAGTCTCAATTTCTTCCAATTCTTTAACAACTTGAATTTCATCTTGTTCAGGGTCATCTACTTCAGACCCAGCAGAGTCACAGGTCTCGGAGTGGCTATCATAGGTTTGATCTGTCTTCACGCTCATTAAATTCTCCGGTCGGTGCTTGGTTGAAAATGGTGACCCAAATGTTGCCATGAGGCGGTTTCCAGAGTCAGACTTAAGTTGATCATATCGCTCGGCTAACAAGCGATGTGCCCTATAAAAATCTTCAACCATGCTGATTAGCTCTGGCCGTTTCTTGTAATACATCTCTGCACGTTGAGCAAAAGAATCTGCATCTGCTTCTATCAGTTTCAGCATTGACTTTGTCTTCCTGTCTAGCTCTGCCAAAGCAGACAAGAGATCTTTAATACCATAAATTTACCATCTCATCAGAAGTACAAATAATGAAGGCAATATCTAGTAAATTAATAAATCTCAAGCACTGGCAAATTGTAAAAGATCTAATCCCGGGATGCTCAAAGGCAAAATGCCTAATCCTAGGTATTTATTAACACAAAATCTTGCATTGCAAGAGATCTAGAACTTGGAAAGAGTAGGGCCCTGCGCAGTCACCACCCAACTTATCACAGAGAACTGCAACTAGCAATTACTTTAACTAGCTAATTAAGCTCACCTCGATGTAGTGCCATTAAAATCTCAGGTGGGTTTAGAAGCAAAGAAGAAGAAAAGGGGGCATTGATGAGTTTATTACAGGGGCCTATGCAGGAAAAGGAAAATAGAGAAAAGAAGAAAAGAGAGTCTATGGCCTTACCTTCTTTCCAAAAAAATTTAAGATTCTGCGATTTGTGCTTCAGAAAGGTGGCTTTACTTCAACTAATAATCCACTGATAATAATTTTTAAAACCTTAAAAATGATGAGCATACTTCTCAAAGCCATTTCCTCAAAATAAACAAAGATAAGGACTGTAGTTGGTGGACTTTCAGGCTACGTCCTCTGTATTGAGGGCCATATACCATAATTGATACACCCAAGCAGTCACACGCAGAGACACAAACCCTTAAAACCATCATGTCTTGGTTCTGGACTGGAGACCATTTCTCAAAATCAGTGCCACGAAGATAACACATGATCCAATCCCATCTATCCTCTCAGTTTTTTAATGGCTGAGGACCCCTCCAATGTCTGCCCCTTTTTTTGCTTTGAATTGTGTTGAATAGTCATAACATTATCGATCAATACTCAGCTAGCAAGGGCAGTCTTGGAGATATGAAAATAAAATTTAAAAATTCCCGCTTCCACTATGTTCACGAATCACGGGTGAGGAAAGGGCTCCAAAGCAAATGAACTGTCAAGCAAATCAGTAATTCTAAAACTTATAGTATCTCTGATAACTTTTTTTTTGGGCAGTCCACTCTTTCATACTATCTTAAACCTACAACTAAATGCAAACTTTGGCTACCAAAACCTGGACCTGATAAATTAGAACTATCCCTTTAATATATGGGTTCAGTTGTCTCGGTGCTCCTTTCAAATAACACAAAAGAAGAGAGAAGAAATTCCGAGGGTTAAGTAATTGGACCCACCCTCCCTCTAACCCCGCATGGCGGTCCACACAGAGCAACCTTTATTGTCAATATAAATTGCCCCTGCAACCCTAACTAGTATGATGACAATTAATTCTTGATTCTTTTACCCTGAAGTTCTCAAAGAATCCATAGTTTGACCCGCCCAGATGCAACACTTTTCTTGTACTGATCCTTTTATTATTTTTTTCAACCTAGGAATTGTCATATCAGAAAAATGCGTAATTTCATCCATTGAAGTAATCTACCTCGATAAGGTATCAAAATTTGTGTACTAATCCATTCACTTGTACTCAATACTATTAAGAGAATAAAAAAGCAATTGCTGTAACTTTGACATCACACACACATACAAGAAACCAAGTGGTAAACCATCTAGGTGGTGGTCAAGTGGTTACTGTAACTTTGACATCACACGCACATACAAGAAACCAAGTGGTAAAACATCCAGGTACTGGCCAAGTGGTAAGGACTTAGGATCAAGGATCTCAGATTCGAGTCCTTGATTGCTCATATGATTGCCACTAGAGGCTTACATGGTCGTTAACTTCAGGGCTCGTGAGATTAGTCATGATGCGCGCAAGCTCGCACGGACACCCACGTTAATCTAAAAAAAGAAAGATGGGAGGCTAACAGGGGGGGTTTTACCAGCAAGAGTAGATTGTAGCCATGGAGAGCCACTTGAGGTATGGTGAATGTCAAACCACCACCAGTGTGATGTTTCCTTGTTCATCATCATCTCTACCTTCTCCTTCTCCTTCTCCTTCACCTAATATTAAATTAATACCCCACTATAAAAATAAAAATCAGTAATTTTGATCCCAGCAGGAAAATTGAAACTAAACGCCACGTTAATCAAAAAAAAAAAAACAGTTGCTACTATATAATCTAGAAAAAAAAGAAGGTAAGAAAACGCAAAAATAAATAAACAGATGGGAGGCTAACAGGGGGGGTTTTACCAGCAAGAGTAGATTGTAGCCATGGAGAGCCACTTGAGGTATGGTGAATGTCAAACCACCACCAGTGTGATGTTTCCTTGTTCATCATCATCTCTACCTTCTCCTTCTCCTTCACCTAATATTAAATCAATACCCCACTATAAAAATAAAAATCAGTAATTTTGATCCCAGCAGGAAAATTGAAACTAAACAATATTTACATTAGTTAATTGGATGGTGAGGGAGGGGGCTACTTTAGTCATTTCAAACGGTGAAAACAAAGAAGGGTGTTTCAAAATTTAAACACCAAATAAAAGTGCCAAAAATTCAAAACCATTAGACAGATACGATACACGCACAGCACAGCAAACA